GTGGAGGCTTGTTTTCTGTTGGGATCAGGCAGGGATCAAGATGTTTGAGCAGCTTGATTTTACCCTCATCAGGATTCTTGTCCTCTGTTTGTTCCCAGCTTGGAGCTAGAGGCAGTGCAAGGAGGTTACTAGAAGCCTCACTTGCAGCCATCACTGGTGTGTCCTGTAGCTCATTTGGTGGAAAACTTTCAAGTAGCTGCATATTTGTGGTGCAGGACTTTGGGCATTCTGGTGTTTGTGGCAGACAAAATATCTGGCTTTGCGGTTGCCATGTCAAGGAAATCTCCATGCCCAGGGAACTTTCCATCACTGCAAAGAATCAGGGAAGAAGTCAGTCAGTCCCTGGTCAGTGAAGTGCGCCTCCTACCCACCAGCAACAGAGCAGTCAGGTCCCTTCTCTACAATGATCAAGCTTTTGTACAAGCTCCTCTTAGGAACCAAAAGACTCCTGGAGGTTATTTCAGTTCTGACCCTTAATGCCATGAGTCTGGATGTCTTTGCATTTCTTAGTGTGTTGTTAAGACATGGAAATAGTACAAAGGTAGATTAAGAATATGAAATGTTTTATAAAGCCAGCAACTGTCGAAGAGGTTCTTCTTTGTTCCTTTGAGTGAATAAGAACACTTTATGTAGTTTACTAAAGACAAGGGTTGGGAGATATCTCCATAAGATATGTCAATGAAGACAAAGTCTTACTGATTGCTTTGGACAGAATGTGTGGGGAAAATCATTTGAAAGATATTTTAGGTAATTTTATTTTTAAAAAGCTTTCTATACATCCATAGCTGGGATTTTTCATCAGAATTTGTCCTACACCCACCATCCCTTCTCATGCTTGCTAATCCTCCTAGATAGATTTGTATGTAAATATTCACTTGGTTGTTTAAAAATAGGAGTCTTATACCATAAGTTTCTTTCTGTGACTAATGTTGCTCACAAATAATTCGTTCTTGAACCCAAGATTTTAAATCTTTATGTAAAATGATGTAAAAGGAAATGAGGAAAAAAATGAAACTGACCCTAGTGCAATTAAGAGTGAAGAAGGGCTTTTCAAAAATTTGAAAGATAAGATTCACAACCCAAACTCATTGCCTTTGAGTTGAAACCAACTTATATCTGACTCTCCATTGGATTTCTAAGGCATAAAGTTTCCAGAAAGGCAATTGTCAGTCTTTCCCCCACCTCAGAGCCCAATGGTGGATTTGATCTGCCAAAGATTTTCAGGGTTTAGGTGAGAGATGTCAACCCCTAGGGACCAGGCCACTAGAGTTCTTCCTTAAGGCCATAAAAGGGTGTTTATGACAGTATGGTGGTGGTAAGGAAGCTGTCTCCCTTGATAGGCTCTGAAAGTGTTCTTACATGTAACAAAAGGGACCACACACTATCCCTCCTGGACCAGATGCTACATGGAGGCTGGAAACACTGGAGAGCCTTGACGGAGGGTAGGTACCACTTCCCAAATGTATATTTGACCCTCTTTCTTCTCTCCTCTTGCCCTTTGGACTCACCTGGAAATCTTGCTTCTGAGATGGGTTGAGCAGAGAAGGAGTAGTAAGTTCCAGAAGTAGAGGATGGTAGAAGGGCATTGGCAGGCTGAATCTCCTTTAGCACCAGCGCCATTTCTGGTTGAGGAGCAGGGGCCCTGTCTCCTGTGTATAACTCAGTGCCATAGGATTGCAGGCAAGGACCAAGGTCTCCAGAGAGCAGGGGCCCCACTGTGCCCTGATTATAATAATAAACCTGAATGCCTTCCTGGTGGGGAACTGAGAAACTATGTCCCTGACTTGGTGGCCCCTGGACAAGACTAACAGGTAGTGATGGGTACAGAGAACCTATGGTAGTGGTGTCTAAAGGTTTGTCATAATGAATTGTCATTGGCATGGAAGACATCGCTGTGTCTTGGTCAATGATTGTGAAAGTGGAGTCCCCAAGTGAAGAGGACTTCTTTTGTGAGCTTCTTGTGAGGTTCCATTCAATAATCCCTGGGTAAGAGGAAGATACAATGGGGATCTGGTTCTGGCCCCAAACTGCAGACTGCAGAGATGTGTCAGAAGGTTGGTAAAGGTAGGCACTGCCCAGGAGTGGCTGGAAAGAGGAGACAGGGTCTGATGGAAGTAGCCACGCTGAGCTGACAGCTGGAACAGAGACCCTGCAGGAGTTAGAGACGCTTCCTGTGAAGGGAGCTGCATTGCTCACCACAGGCAGAGAGAGCTGCCGAGAATCTGGAGTTCCCAGCAGAGAAGGACAGGGGAAATTTCCTGTAGGAAAAAGGAGGGTGGAGAGGAATCAGTGAGTCTGATATCTTCTCCTCAGAATACCTCTTAACACCAGTGCCCTACAAGGTTATTTTCTAGGCTATAAGCAACCTTCTTCCTGGCATTTCTCCTTCTTGAATGCAAATATTGACTCTTACAATGTTTCTTAGAATTGAAATATATTAGAACTTTGGGGTCTTAGTAGACTCCGATTCCAACCCTCATTTTAGGGGTGATAACACTGATCCTCAGGGATGTTGAAAGACTCCTTCTCGTTCTCCATGACATGTGTGGCATTACCAGGTTCCAGAAACTAGATAGCCTGTCTCCCTTGCCAGAATCTCTGCTCTGAGCCAGAAATGGACGTGGACTCTTGGTTTGTTCTCGTTTCTGGGATATTGTGACTAATGCTACGAGGACTATACATGTATTGCTACAAGGATCTATTTAAATTGAAATAAAATTAAATCAACCAAAATCAGGAATTTAAAAAAAAACCCAGCCAGCACACCAGTCTCTCATTGGCTCCAACAAGAGGCTTCCTGCCTACTCCCCCACCAAACAACCAGACCAGAGCTGATCTCCATCCAGCACAGAAGCACTCATTGCCAGGCCCTTGTCGCCATTGTGGTTGAATGAAGCAGCTGGACTCAGAGATGGTACACTTGTGTTGGTTGAGGATCTGTGTGGATTGTGTGGTGGTTTTTATTTATACTCAACAAGACCTCCTTGAGGGCCCTTATATTTCAAAGTTGGGCCCGAGAGATTATATTTGAATCTGTTACTATAATTTAGAAAAAAACATTCTCCTAAATCATATAGCACTCTGGCCAATTTGCTATGATGAGGTAATCTGGGCTTGCTGTAACACTGTACCTTGTGTCACTGGGGTCTCAGGTGCCAAAATGGAACCAACTATACCATGTTGTTGGTGGTGTTATGTGCTGTCGAGTCACCTGCAACTCATACAGGCCTTATGTGCAATAGCCCTAAACCTTGCTCTACCTCTTGCCAGTCTTACTGTCTCAAACACGCCTATCCTCATTACCCAAGTGACAGAATCAATCCATCTCATTGAGGGTCTTCCTCTCCTGTGTTGTCCCTCCAGCCTCCCAAGCATGACGTCCCTCTCCAAAGTCTGATCTCGCCTTGCAACATGTCCAAAGAATGTCAGACAAAGCTTCAGAATCCCTGCCTCCAAGGTGCAGCCTCGGTTTACTCTCTTCAGGATGAACTTGTTTGTTCTCCTAGCAGTCCATGGTATATTCAATACTCTTCTCCAGCACCAAAGCTCAAAGGCATCAACTCTCCTTCTATCATCCCTAGTCATTGTCCAGCTCTCTGATGCATAGCAAGTGATGGCAAAGACCGTGGTGGGCATGTATCAGGCACACCTTAGTCTCCAGACTGACATTGTTGCTCTTCAGTACTTTGGAGAAGTCTCTGACAACAGACTTTGCCAGTGCAATTTGTCATTTAATTTCCTGGCTGCTACTACCAAGAGTCTTGATTGTAGAGCCAAACAAAGTGAAGCTGTCTACAATCTCAATCTCTTCATCATTATCATGATGCTGCCAATCAGCCCTGTGGTGAGAATCTTTGTTTTCTTGATGTTGAGCTGCAATCCATATTGAAGGCTGCAGTCCTTGACCTTCTGCAGCAAGTGCTTCAGATCCTCCACAGTTCAAACAAGCAGGGTTGTGTCATCTGCATAACTCAGATTGTTGATGAGTCTACCTCCAATCATGATGCCACACTTCTCCTCATAGAGCCCAGACTCTCAGATAATCTGTTCTACATATAGATTGAAAAGATATGCAGACAATACACATCCTTGACACACACCCTTCCCAGTTTTGAACCATGCAGTGTTTCCTTGCTCTGTTCTGACAACTGCCTCCTGGTCAAAGTATAGGTTTCACATAAGCAAAATCAAGTGTTCTGGGATTCTTATTCTTCTCATAGTCACCATTTGTTGTGATCCACACAGTAAAATGCCTTTGCATAGTCAACAAAACACAGATAGACATTCCTCTGGTACTCTCTGCTTTCAGCCAAGATCCACCTGACATTACCTATAATATCCCTAGTGCTGTGGCCTCTTCTAAATCCAGTCTGCACTTTAGGCAGTTCTCTGTTGATGCTCTGTTCTAGTCATTTTTGGATAATCTTCAGCAGACTCTCGCTAGCATGTAATATTGTTCAATAATTTCCACTCCTTAAACCACATGTCTCTGGAAACTCTATGAACTTGGATAAACAATGATACTTATAGAAC